ATATATATATATATATATATATATATATATATATATATAAAAGGTTAAAAAGCTTAATCTTCATTTAATGTGTATGAGCAAATAAGGAGATGACTGTGACAGTTCTGCATCCATATGCATGTGGGATGAGCAGAACTTCACATTACCATAAGTGACATCAGAAAATACTCTTGTGGAGTTTTGTATCTGTTTAAGCTGACCTGTCATGTCTGAAACAATTTGTTTGGCTAAAAGAACAGTTTTAACAGCTGAGTGTCTAGTGATCTGTTTAGAATCTGAAGTTGATTGGCTTTGCTTTTGTCTTCAGCAAGGAAGAACTTGTTGAATATTTGTTTTGATAATGTTCTCTTGGAACTCACTTGGTTCTGTAGAGTGATCCTACATAAGGAGATGATGAGTTGCCTTATGCTGAACTACAGTTCTGTTTGTTGGAAAATACTTGGAGCAAGAGGAACCATTAATACAGTTTTAGTTTACTTTTTGCCTTTGGAGGTTGTGGACAGTACTGATTTTTCTTGCTGTGCTTTTCATCTTCTATTTCCACAGTCTCCTTATTAACTCTTCTTTATCACCTACTCCAGCTTCCAATAGCTATAAAGTTCAGCAGGTTTTGATTTTTCACTTCAAGTGAAAAAATAGGGTTTTTTTTCCCAAATTAGCTGTTTGTTGAAAGTTACTGCCTTCAAATTCTGTTGGATGCTGTTGATCTTACTGATCTGGAAGCCTCTCTAGTTAGGGGTAGAACTGAACATGGATTGATGATTGTGGAGGACCTCTTGAAGTGAGGTTTAAGGTGTTTCACCATGATGTTACCCACTTGGCAGTACCAGTTGTTGAACTAGTTGTTAGGACGTTGTTCTGTGCTAGCAGGTGATACTGCTCTTCTAAACCAATTTCTGGATGGACACGTTTGATGGTTTTGAATCTTGTTTCTTAGAAACTATTCATTTGAGGGAGAACTTTCCCTTCTTTATTTATTTGTAGAGGTTCTGAATTCCATATCAAATGGGGAGAGAAGCATATTCATTGTCTCTTTCAGAGAATCAACCTCAGTTGCTGTTTCCGATGTTTCGTGCCAGCAGCATAATTCTGAGCTTGGTTAGAGTAGTGGGTGATGTGGTTTTTTATATGGTTCAGAACAGCAATTTATAGATACCTGGAGTGCCACTAATTTTCTGCTCTTTGCTGATTAGGAAGTTTGGGAAGGTGCTTTCAGAAATTTAACCTGGTTTTGTGAAGGTATACTTTTTATTGAATGGATTTGTGAGCCGCTTTCCAAGAATGTGCCAATACTGCTTCATTTCTTGTTGGAAACTTTCCTTCCTTTCTTCATCCAAAGTAGGAGCGTTCTCATGGCGTGAAGTTGGGGAGATTAAGGAATTTTTAAAACTTGGAAAGATTACAGGGGAGGGGGAGGAGGAGAATACACCAAGTTTCTCTGGAAGGCCTTTGAGGTGAAGATGCTGGTGATAGCACCCTGTCTTGCATTGTCGTGGTTTAACCCCAGCCAGCAGCTGAGCCCCACACAACCACTCGCTCACTCCCCCCAGCCCCTGGTGGGATGAGGGAGAGAATCAGAAGGGTAAAAGTGAGAAAATTCGTGGGTTGAAATAAGGACAGTTTAATAGGTAAAGCAAAAGCTGCACACAAGCAAAGCAAAACAGGGAATTCATTCACCACTCCCCATCACTCAGCCATCCCCAGGACAGCCGGGCTCCATGACATGTAACGGTGACTTGGGAAGACAAACGCTGTCACTCCAGACGTCCCCCCCTTCCTCCTCCTTCCCCCAGCTTTATCTGCTGAGCGTGATGCCAAATGGTGTGGGATCTCCCTGGTTGGGGTCAGTTGGGGTCAGCTGTCCTGGCTGTGTCCCCTCCCGACTCCTTGTGCACCCCCAGCCCCTCGCTAGTGGGGTGGTGAGAGAAGCAGAAAAGGCCTTGACTGTGTGTTGGGACTGGTCAGCAGTAACGAAACCATCCCTGTGTTATCAGCACTGTTTTCAGCACAACTGCTAGCTACTATGAAGAAAATTAACTCTATCCCAGCCAAAACCAGCACATGCATTTAAAATGTTTTTGTGCCCTTCTTATGATAGCTGTCTACTTTCTTGAAAGCCACTGAGATAAAAAATAATTTTGCACAGTGCCTGGTGTAATACAGCTTACGGTTACATGTTACAAAATCTTACTGCAAAGTAGAGAATAGTAGTGGAAATCTATAAAAGGAGGTGGTTTTATAAAACTTTTATGTTATTTGAGGAATAATGTGAATAAACCCCTGAAATAGCTATATAGATTTTTTTCAAAAGAATGCTGCATTCTTATTTGTACCTTTATTAACAGACCGGTATGTTTCTGTATAACAGATACTTCAGAGAATTGCCTAACAGCACATACATAAGCTACAGCTGAGTTTCTTAATAAACCTCATAGTGGCCAAGTTAGATTTTTTTTTTTTTAAGGCAGATACAGCAGTTGCAGATGAAGGCAGCTTGCTCATCTAATATTTCTTCTGGCTTCCCAAGTGGACAGTAGTGCAAGATTGTTTTCACAGTGGAAAGTAATGCTCAGTTTGGGTGATGATGCATTACACATATTTGCAGAAATAAGTAAAATCTCAATTTAAGTGTCTTGGGAATCC